AAAACAAACGTTTTTCTTTTACTAAAGTTAAAGAAAAAGATTTTGAACAGAGATTTTTGAGTATATCTTTACTTAGATTTTTTAGCTGAAATGTCAATGCATTTTATATAAAACTCTATAACCGTTGAAAAATGGCAAGAAACCCCGATATGATCCGTAGCTTCGTAGAAATATGAACAGCAGACCTTAACATAACTACTATTTTACGTAAGAGATGTTGACTTCAAAATGTTTAAAGATCTATTTTGCACAAAATAATCATCTTTATAGAGGAATTTATATAATTTAATTATGAACTTGAATTGGTTTCCGAGATAAAGGATGTCGTCCCTGGAGAAAAAATGTGGCTGCTTCTGAGCTATTGCTTCCCTTAGATGGTTCAATTGTTAACAGTACAGGTCCGAATTAAAAGTGTTGCAGTAGAGGAGCAGCTCATAATAGATGACTCGCTGTCTATCCCACCAAACACATGGCAAAACCTTCCTGACCTTATACCGCTACTCGCTCTCGCTATTCGAACACGACCATTTTCGCTTGCAGCTGTCGTAAGTGCACCATTTTTCATCTTCAGTAATCGGCTTTGGAAATGCATCAATTCTGTGGTAGATTTGCTACTTATCCAGACGAATAATACTAAGAAAAATAAATCAAAATATTATATTGAATATTACAGTGTGTAAAATAGACAAATTTTAATAATATGTTCTGGAGAGAATTTTACTGACATATAATATGCACAGAATTGCCACCTATCCAAAAAAATAAAGACGAAAAAATTTTCAGAGTATGCCAAACATAAAAAAATTAAGAAAATATTTGAAAATGTTTTTAATTAATTTATTATTTAGTTTGACACAAACTTGCACTAATTAAAAAAGTAAAACTCAAAAATATTACATTGTGCAAAAACTTAAAAAATTTAAGAGGCTTATTATTTTCATGCCTTGAAATTTAAAAAATATTTTATATGAACCTAAATTCTTATAACACTAGATACATACAAATTTCTTGCTTAGGACTTATTAATCTCGACTTTATTTACAATTAAAAGTGCTTTTATTTTGCTATGATACTTTCTTAAGTCATAAATCTTTTTAGCTGACCGAACCTAACCTAGTATACATTAAAGATGTAGGAAATTCAATAAAATATTTTAAATACATAGTCATGGTCTGCTACTAGTACTACCATTATTGATTAAGTTTACACCTTAATAATCTAAGTGAGCTACAACTATATTTCAAACACTATATAACCGTTATTGCCACCATTCGAAGCAAAGTGTTATAGTATTGCTCAACTCAAGAAACAATTAACAGCCAATCAAAATTCGATTCTCCTAACACCTTTTAACGCTTATGTTAATTGCTGTTAATAAAAGTGCAGTTATTTTTCGTAATTGTTTAATAGTGCAATATTATACGAGCATTTACGTCGCATTGTTAACCAACAATTTTCTAAATTCTCATTACTTTGGACTGGTTAGCTGATGCTCTTTGCTTTTTGTTTTTGCTCCAAACGTTTGATCTCTCCCTGCTTTTAGTTGCAACATCAAAATTAGCTAAGTGTCATGTATTGACCGCCTGAAAATCAACGTCAAAATGGCAAAACTCGTTGCCACTGCCAGCACCAAGCTGACTCAAATGACTAACTGCAGCCAATTGTGCGGTCAAAACAACTGCGTTTATGGCCGCTCAACGTTTTATATTATTTATTTCTACTGTCCGATCTTTGCGGGATGCAGTCGCATTTTTCCCATTTTCGGTTGCAGAAATTTCCTAAACGCTCGCGAAGGCCCTGGCCGAGTCGAACTCGCCGAATCGAGCCGCGCCTATATGGAAATGAGAACAAGTTTACGTCGATGTTGCAACAAATTGCGGTAGCCGGTGGTGTCCCATGCCCCTACCCTCGGCGCCATTGATAGCAAGTCTTCGATTGGCGGGGCCATATGTGTACCGACTCGCTTTGGAATAATTGCACTCATTTTTGGCTTGCGATTATTTAGCTGTTTTATTGCTGCCGCCAAACGGCGATGTGTAAGCGTTTTGTGCTACTGCTGCAGTGTTTTTGTTATGACATGTGCCACAAATCGAAAATGTCTGAATTTATCCGCCTAAAAACAGGTTCGTATCGCCTGATTTTGCCAAAAAGCTATAAGCAGTGGTATGTTTACATATATACTTATATACGTATATACTTTTATATATATAACACCTCTATTTACCTATATTTATAAATTTGGCTTTCATGTCAATTCGATGGCTATCGCATGCGATTACGAAATTCGGCAATGCATAATATTGATGGCATTAAATAGTAGTTATACTCTGGGAGTGGTGGACCATACTATATATCTAAAAATGATTTGTTTTTGTTTTGGCTGGAACTCTGCAGAAAAGTTGTCTACCTTGTTACGGCTGAAGAGTGTGCCTGGTGTCACGTAATTGGAATTAAGATTTTCTGAGGTGTTTATCTCTGTGCCACGCGGAAGATACCTAAAAAATAGAGTTAAATCGCGAACATTTTCGCGTGATTATTTTTTAAAACTGTCGACATGGAATAATTCAGCAACAGTGCATCGATTAACTAATCTTTTGTGTTAGGCGATTAGCTCTCCAAACTAGAGTTTAATCGCTAGAGTCGTTGTTAATCATAAGACTAGTATTGGATCGATCTCATACAACTTGTCAAACACTAAAAAGAATGCCCGTATCCATTGGTCGACAGAGTTGTTATAAAAATACGATAGCGGTGCATCGAAACATGTCCATGACAGCGTAACACGTATGAGAAACTAAACAGCAGTCGACTATATGGGTATTCCCAAATGAGTCAACAAAATCCAACAAGTTTTTCGGACACGAAGCTCCCGTTTGCTTGGAGAAACTGGACATGTCGCAACCATACCACTAGAACAATGCAGAACAGTAAATTCTGAGTGGTAAACAACTATTGGTTTCTCAGAAAAACCAGTCGCCGAAGACCTATCACTCTTTACCGCTCCACTTCTTGGCACCGAATGACTTATTTTTATTCCCGTAAGAAAAAATAAGCTAAGAGTCAACGTTTCGACACTGAAAGAGATGAATGCGTTCAGAACACATGTTTTGAAAATACCTCAATCAGAGTGGCACAAGTGCTTCCACAATTGGTTCAAACGCGTGCAACAGTATATAGATCTTAATGGAGAATATTGTAAAAAAGCGATATGAAGCAATTTTCGAAGATTAATATTTGTTTTGGTTTTCTAATCTCGAAATATTAGAGGCAACCCTCGTACTAGCCTCAGTTGGTATAGCCTTAGTGACTTTAGCGAATTTTAGTTTTTCGGTTTCGCTTGATTTTTGAAGCTCCATTCGCTGAACTGTTGGACAGTTTTGACGTCATATTCATAAACCCACATTCCGTCACCTATTATGATGCGATTGACACATGTGGGGTCCTCAGCATCTCTTTTATGACCTTTACTCGACGTCGTTTTTGCAAAAGATATATGCCTTTTGGTACGAATCTTATATTGTCACACTTCATACAAAAACATTAATCAAGGCAAACTCCACATTCACAAAAGAAAAATTTTAGCAATCTAGGAAAATATTTATATCGATTCGATTCAAACGAACATAAAAGTTGGTTGTGTCAATCTAGGAAAAAAAAAAGTGTACGAGTATCTATATGCACCTGTCCGAGTTAAATTAGATCAGATGGTAATTTGAAGCAACAAGATTAAAATAAGCCCCTAACTATACTTACAAAAGTTATTAATTTTAACATTAAATTCAGCCACTTCGAAATGCATGCTCCATAAAGTCTGTTAAACTCACCCTTCGAACTTGCGGTATTTGTACGCTCTTCCATTCAGTTATGAGTTACAATAACCCAAATCTTGTGATGAAACGGCAATTGCCATTGGCAACCTAACAATTGATGCAAATCAAAAGCTCATTAATTTTTAGATCGTTTTGATGTACTTGATTGATTATTAATAATGAGGTTGCTATAAAAATATCGTAAACTGCATTTTAAAACTTACGTTAGGAACAATTGATGAGCTTTTTTTCTTCTTCAGAAATTCAATTTAATTTGAGTTAACACTTTTTTTGTTATGTAAATCTAGTATGTGGTGTTTAATAAAAAGGCAATAAACTTTAGTTAATATTTACGTTCATTAATAATTAACAACTGGCCTTTTTGGATGTTTGAAAACTCTAATTAAACGAGTTAATTTTTGTATTTGGTGAACTCCGAGTTTAATAGTCGTGTTTAATACTTAAGAGTTAGTAAACTCGAGTTGAACACACATTCTTTATTAATAATTAACAAGTGTACTTTTGGTCTTTTTTGAAACGCCATATGAAGTTAAAATTTTGTGTATGGTAAACTCCGAGTTTGTTAGTTATATATTGATTGATTAGAGTCAAAAGTCGAGTTTTGTCTGCAGGTGAAAGTACTATTAAAACCCTTTTATATAACAATTCTTTTTCCAGTTAATAATCCGACTAGAATGCTTTCAAGTACAATTCAAGAATCCACGTCTTTAGATATAACGAGCTTTTAATCTGCAAATATTCAATGAATTTAGGACCGCAAATCACTACATTTCAAAATCTAGGCCGTAACTCCACAATCCACACCTCTATAGCTGTAGTAATGTTTACACATACCTTTACTGTTAAATTGTTTTCACTAAAACGATAAGGATCAAACACTTGACATGAAACCAAATATTTTCCGCAATTTTCAATTTATGTTCAACTTGCTTAACTCTTTAAATGAGCGTTGAACTTATGGTAAATCCGATATAGCTTAACCTCAAATATCGAAGAACAGTAAAAATGATTCAATTATTGCAAAATGTTAAACGAAAATAGCCTAATACCGCGTAAAGATAAATCGAGAAGAAAAAAAACACTTCGAGTTTACACTTTGCATAGCAAAATCGAAAATTACGCAATACGTGTAAACAACACAGCCACCGTTATCCATACCAATCGAATAAGCGGCGAGCGCACAGGGCGGAACAGTGGTAGCTGACGGCCTGACAACCAACAGACAGCAGGTTCGTTCAACATGATTACATTTAGCATTACTGTGATATAGCAAATTATGTGTTTATGCGCTTAAGAATGGTTCAAAATTTGGAGTCATACAGAAAAACATAAATAACAAATAAAATCATTACTTTATTTGTGTTTTAAACATTATGATTTCGCACTGGCATATTTGTCATTGATTCTTTCGTTTCGATACAGAAATCTAACATTAAATTATGTTCTTGGCGCGAAAATGTATGCCACTCTTTCGTAGATAATTTGGCACAAACATTTTTGACATACATACATATATGTAAAGTATTTCTCTTTGAAAAAAAAAAATCGTTGAATATTGTTTAAAATGTTTATGGTTACGTTAATATTGGTCGCAGTTAAAGTTCTTACCTTGATTTGTTTAATCTGATAAAACAACTATTCATTGAGTCCTCGATACGATTTTAATATCCCCTTTTTATACATACGAGTTTTCTTAGTACCAAAGTTGTTGATATACAGAGAATCTTTCAAAATTAGGACTTATTACTATACGTTGGTATAATATATAAATACTTACGCAAATGGATCAGTTTATTAAATAACACGACGTGCTTTTACTTCAGTGGTTCAGTCAAGAGTGACTCAAATTCATTTTTAATTCTATATGTACATACAAATATATTGTATTCATATGATATAGTTGTCTTATTCATATTATCTATATTTCGAAGAAAGCCCTTCTAGGAAAAATTTTTACTTGTACTTTTACTTTATAATTTTAACACTATATTTATTTAAGAACCACTTTGGTATTCTATTTCTAATTTTTTTCAAGCATTATTTTTTTGGCTAACTGTAAGACCCCACCACCTTTTTATTCTTAAATTACCCGTTAATCCCAAATAAAGACATCCTTATATCCGAAAAGTTCTAGTCTACTCTAAATGATAATACAACATATTTTCTACAAACAGTTTTTGTTTTTTATCTTCGAACAATGTTTCTCACATTTCTTTGAATTTATTAGATAGTCCTTTTCGATGACTGTAGCTGGTAGCCAAATGCATTTTACATTTGGGTAAAACATTTTAAGTTTTGTCGACGACCACGAAGTCTAATAAAGGCTTCCGAAAGGAGCTGACCTAAAATACCGCGACTGATAGGTTTGTGGAAGTTGGTTGACGACTTTAATAAGTACTCGTACTACATGAAGAGGAGCGAAAAATCTAATGAAGATATATATGTACTTTAGTGTTTAGTGTATCAACTCTGTTTAAAAAGGTACTCAGAACAACTTTTAAAATGAGCAGATGATTATTTATGCATAAACTTATTCTGATTGCTAAATTACTGTTTGTTTTTACTGACATGTCAGTTTAAATGCATTTGATTTATATATTTTCCATTTTTGTTTATACTAAATTATTATTTGCTTTTATTGATTCAGGTTACAATGGCTGGCGATTATGTACTTGCCATAGCTTCGATTATGATTGCCCGTCTGAAGAGCGATGATGTGACGATTATTCTAAGTCAGGTGAGTAAAAGCAAAAACAACCAAAATGTATAGAAAAAATTTCTTTATTAACGAATGTGTGTTTTTTGCAGTTATTTACTTAACAAATATTTATTTGCATTCATTTAATATGATTGAAGAGTTCTAAACAAAGTATATATAATCAATAATATGAAGAGAAATATTATTACTTTATAACGGATTTAATTTTTTTAAGCACTTATAAAAATCATAAAAAATATTTAATCAATATTTAAAAGAAAAAACATTTTTTCTTGAGCGAACAATATTTTTTTCGATAAAAATATATCAATTTGGGTTTAATATTTTTGTATTATTTTTGAAACATTTTTTTTTTCAAAAAAGTAATGAATTCTTTAACTATATATATTTTATAAATTTTTTTCTTGACCCAACATTTATTTTGTTAAATTTTTAAATATAAATTTCGATTATTTATCTATCAATAATCTATATTTTCTAATATATAATATATTTTATTCAATATATTTTTTCGATAAAAAGTTATCGATTTTATTTTGATTTTGGTTCGTTTTTAACGCTTAGATTTTTTTATACTTTTTTGTTTTGTTGTATTTTCTTCATTATAAAGTTGTGACGCCTTGCTTACTATTTTTCGATTATTTTAATCGCATACAATTTAAAACAATTTTATCATTACTTTTTTTGATGCAACATTTTTCTTCGTTAAAAGTATATTGAGTTCTTTACAATATTTTATACATTTTTTTCTCAATTTTTTTGTGTGAAAAAATATTTGATCTACAAGTATTATATGTAGTGAAGCTCAATGTTTTTTTGTTTTTTGTATATTCTTTCGTTAGAGCGCAAATAATTAATATAGAAGCATAAAATCTTTTATACAAAAATGCACTGCAATTAGTTACAATGCCAGCACCTCTACATTCTGATCGTATCTTATGAAATTATTTATTCCTATGTACTTGTATGTGTAGGATTATAATCATTACATATGCTTTTGCCTCACGAGATCGCCGATAAACTGTCTGCCAACTAAAACGCTTGCAAAACGGCGGACGGTGATTCCCTTGAACATGTGATTCCCTTTATACTTTAAATATGTATTTTTTTGTTTCCTTACAATTATAATGATACTTTATGGTTTTTTCTATAAGACAACTGCAGCAAGCGCATTACGCGCCATTTATCTGTCTCGATTGCGATCTAAAAACCTGAAATGCTGCCTGCTCGCTGCATTACTTCCGCAGTGTTGAACTCTACGTCTTCTGCTTTCGTTCGTACTTCAATGAGTCTGTCCTCTGTAAATTCGAAAATGCAGTTGGTCCTCCCAGCTTTTATTATTTATTGCTTTAACAACTGCATCTTGCAAGCATAGACTCGTCAGTAAAAACAGATTTTAGAATTCTTATTTAAAGAGTATATTCTTATTAGTTTCTTTTCTTGTAAAAGAAGAAGCGTTGATGCCGGACATGCCATAAAAAATTACTTAAAGGGCTACGACTTCATTGGCAGTGAACTTTTTGGAGGCCATTCAATGGTGGGTTACCTGATTGACAACTAATCGACTGCAGTGCGTCATTGTGTTCTCTTTACGACTATCGCTTTGGCTTTATTTGTCTGAATGCCTGTTATCCTTTATTTTATTATTCTTCGTTGTTCTCACAACATTTTGTTTGATTATTTCATTTTCTTGGCGCACCTTATAAATGCATTCATTAGTACAGATGCAGTAGAAGTGCATTAAATGCAAAAAATTTATGTATTTATTAATTAAATCGTCTCTAGATTTACAATTTTTATATTCGAACGATAAAAGACAATTTGCCGTTTTTTATATGCACTCATTTGCTACTGTTGTCTCGAGTCATTAATCTTCCAACTACTCGATGTCATTTGTGCATTTTGCCTGATTCTACAATACCTGAAGTGATTGTGCAATGAATTTTTCATTGCGATCCCGCGATCGCAAAGAATTTAATAATTTAATTCTTCAGTTTAACTAAGTGACGCATATTTTTTGAAACACCTTAACCCTTGTTATCTCAATTGAGTAGGTCAGTTGGAACCTTGTTTTTCGTTATTGAAAAGTTCGAATGTCTGAAAGTAAAATTCTCCACAAAAAATTATTAGGAAAATTTCTATAGGAGCCGATTTGTAAGCTAAAAAGTTGTTGATAAGTTTCGATAACCAAATGTAAAGAGAAATAATTCAAAATCTTCTAAGTTTTTGCGTCATATATGGACAATTTAGTTTGATTTAGAAACGGTGGGGAATCAACTCATAAAATTTAATAAATTGATAATCAGAAGTTTTTACTATTACTTAAGCGGGCTCCATTGGGATATGAAAGAATGTTTTTTATTGTATCCGTGCTTACAAGCTTTGAATACTAGCAAAAAATCGTTTCATTTATTTAGTTTTAGTTTTGCTTTGATCATTTTTAGTATTAACAAAACATAATTTTTGTTCAAAAAAAAAATACCAGCTTATAAAATATCGATTTTTTAATGTCGATTATTAATTTTTTTTAATCTTTTTTGAATTTAAGTATATTATTTATGTAATTATCGATACTTTTAATAAATTAGTTATCGATAAAAATAATGGCGATGCTTAACTAAGTATTTTTTGCACCAACGGACTGTAACGTAATTTTAAGTATAACTAAAAGTTATTTAATTTTTTAAATATATTTAAAGTTGTGCAATTGTGAAGCGAAATAGAGATAATGATCGAACCATAAACGTCGATAGTTTACTAAGAAACTTCACGAAATTTGGCATAGATTATTGTCCAAGGCAACGCTACAATTTCCGAACAAATTGTTCAGTTCGGACCACTATAGCATATAGCTGCCATACAAATTGACTGATCAAAATCAAGTCCTTATGTTTGGAAAAAATGTTTATTTCACAAGATATCTACACGAAATTCAACATGAATTACTGTTCGAAATAAAGCCACAATCTTCGAATAATTTTTTCAGATTCGATCATTATAGTAAAAGTATATGGTTGCCATACAAACAGAACAATCAAAATAAAGTTCTGGTATGAAAAACTTTTTTATTTGATAACATGTATATTTTTAAAGAAATGCAAGCAAATATCAGCACTCGCACATGCCTATTAATAAGCGTGAATGTTTCTAATAAATTTGCTCTTAATTTGTCAGGCACGTAATCGCGCCAAATTACATAAGCACCGCTGCAATGAAAAAAAATATATATATTCCACTCACTAATAAAATCGAATGCAAATAATAATAATTGTTATCCGCAGAGTGTCAATAATTGCACAGATATGTATGCGTGTGTGTGTGCGATATGCATGCCTTTTTGTTGCTATGTAGCATAGCAGTAAAATATGAAATTTAATAACATCCGAATATACAAATGAAAATAAAATTATTTTAGTATCGAAAATCCATTGCGTGCATTTGAAATCGTTCAAAATGCATACATATATACATGTGCATATGTGTGTGCTTCTATTATTTGCTTAAAACATCGAAAATCCCATCAAATTTGAATGACACTTGGCCACTATGAATTTTTGCATGTGTACACAATTTACGAATGTAAACAAACAAAACGCAACGCAACGAAACTAAATTAAATGAAATAAAATTGGTTTGTGGCTGCAGCTGTAAATTGGTGGCCACGGTGGCTGCGGCGGCGGTGGCGACTTGGTCAATGTTTAAAGTCCACCCAAGCGCTCTGCAAAATTCAACACAAATTTCAATATACATATGTGTGTATGTGTGTGTGTGTGGTTTTTTGGGCCATGCTGGTTACACCGTTTGATGTCTGCCCTACTCACCTAATTTGTTAATACCGTTTGTAAACATATTCATACATACACACACACATTCACATCGAGGCTCATACTCGTCGCTGCGAACATGTGTAGTGTCATGTGTTTAAGTGGCTCCGGCTGTCGGCGCGTTTTGTACATAAATCCCATTGAAATTGTCGATTTTACAGTTTTCTGCCAGTTGTTGACCACAAATTCCGATTGCGCGCTGGTGCTCATATGGTTTGCCGTATTTATTTGTATTTATTCATCTCACAAGCTGCGCGCTAATACAGTTGTAGGGCTTGTGGTTGTTGTTTTAGAGCAGTATTAGTAGTAGTAGTAGTTGTTGTTGTTGTTGTTGTTAGAGGTGCAGTCATTCATTCCCTGCTTGCTGTCAGTTTAGGCTTTAGCTACATACTCGCAGGTGTGTGTGTGTGTGTATATGCATGTCTGCAATATAATCGCTGTTGTTGTTGGAATGCCAAGCGCGTTTAGTGCAAAGGGTGCGCCAAAATTAAGTTTACATATTCATCTTACAAATCGGTGCATACATTACCAACAACACTGTTAAAACCACTCATCTTCGGCACACACACACACACAAACTCTTGTCAATTTAGTAGCGCTGTCTATTGGTTTTGTCGTAGCCTGAAGCTATTAACCACGCGCTACGCTTTAACACCGCTTAGCAGCGCCTCAGAAGCATTTCTCACTAAATTATTGCATAATTTTCCAAATATTCATTAGCTTTGCTCACCTATTGCCCACGTGCTTTTATGCATTGGTTTCTTCATCGCATTTCTTACGCAGTTTCGTTGTCTCGGCTTTTGTTTCCGCATATTTACATAAAGATGTTGGCGTCGCAAATGCGAATTATTTAGTTGCTTATAACAAATTTGGTTTCTTAATAAAGATTTAGCTAAAACATTTTTTGTGTTCAGTAAAAGTTGCGTCGGAAGGGTTTCGACATTTTTGTAGGGGTTGGGTAGGCAGAGTGTTTTTTTGAAATATTATAGGCGGAAAAAATTGTATATGAGACTGTGTTATTAAATTCAAACTATAAAAAAGCAAAGTGGTGTATCAATACGGATATACAAATGATAGCTGTACGAAATGAATGCGTCATGGCGTATACGTAACATTTTGTATTGCACAATTCAGGTAATTAGCTTCTACTAATTAGCAAGCATCGCTATTAATAGCATAAAAAAAGTTTCTTTA